GAGAGATACGCATCGCAAGAGAAAGAACGTCCATCCGGGTTAGGGCGGGGGCACACCGTCTGACACCTCGAACACTGACGCCACAGTTCCGACGGTCGGCTTGGCGTGTCTGGAGTCTGACCGTCGCACGGCGTCGCGTGTCAGCCTGTCCACATCGGCCGTGTGCGGTCCTGGGGAACGACCGGACATGACGGACGAATGCGTGACAGCGTACGTCCCATCCAAGCCAATTCATTTCTGCTGGAGCAGTAACGACGCAGCGCTCAGCTCACCCCTGAGGAGGTTCCCGTACTGCAGCCAGGTGAGGGAGGTGAGAGTCGTCGTCGTCGCGCCCTCAGCGCGCCCGCGGGGCGACAGGCGAGGCGTCATGCGGGTGGCTGCGCGCCGCGCCGCCGCCGGCCCCGCCTCCGCGCCCGCGTCGTCGCCTCCTGCAACACACACGCACTCCGTTACCGAAAAGACAAATAATACTTCACTAATCTTACATCGCTTCGCCAGTACTCCCTCTCAGCTGTCCCATGCCACAATTTAACTGCATGTAGCAAGATCCCAAGCTATAACTGAGCTACATTCAAGTGTTTCGTTCGCCCAAAGAATATACCTCTTTCTCCGCTAAGTTGTAAAGGAAGCGTAGCGAAATTTTGCGTGGTTTCAGAACGGAAAGAGCGGGCCTGATGGCCTGCAGTCTCGCCACGTAAAATAAGGCATCAATTCAATTCGACCAACGCCCATACAGAACTAGAATGATTTTTTCTGTGGCGAGTGTACGGGGACAACTCAAGCGCACATGTTATTTTGTAATGTTTATGAATAGCACGCTATTCCATTACCATATCTTACATACTTTGGAAGTCGCCAAACAATCTTGATTTCTTCCCTGAACATTCCTGTTTTACTTTGGAGGCTTTAGAATTTTTTACCCATATAAACTGTATCGTCAAACATCATTTAGCTTACTCTGTCACTCAGTAATCAGTTTTCATTCTATCTTATCAGTGACGTGCGCATGTATGTCAAGGTCCATAGTTTACGTCTTTATGTAAATAATATGAAGCACGTAAACAGTAATAATCACTTGTCGACAAATGGATCATCTTCTTTGGCTGGAGTGGATGCGACTTGAGTACGGGAAGTTTGCGCTGCTACGTCTCAGGGACTTCTGTGATATTACAAACCCGACGAAAGAATAGAATTTCCAGAAGAAGAAGGTAAAACACTCAAGCATATAATTACAAGTGCCGACATATCCTCGATAATATTAATGTGACGTATGGGAGACAGAAAACGAAAAAAAAGCCAAAGACATTGAGAATAAGTTACAAAGACTAGAAGAACAGATAACATAAAGACAGAAAAAATACTTGTGATAAAAATCAGAAAGAATTCACGACAAGAGACCACCACCCCACACACACCCGAGAAAAAAAAAGAACATCCAAAACATAGTAGTAGGCATACAACTGTAGTTTGATGCAGCCTTTATGAGAATATAAACAGGAAGAAATAATGGCTACAAATATATGAAAAACATCTTCGGGTAAATGTCAATTGGAAGCACACAATAGATTAAATTAAAAGGAAAGACACCATATAGAAAAGTATATAAAAAGCAGTGTGTAATGTGAAGATCTGCTGATATAGTCCCCCTTTAAAAAAAATAAGAAATAAAAAAAACAGAAACTACAAAAGGAAAAAATACAAAATACACCTTCAGAAAAAAAAAACCTAAAATACACACAGCAAGGAAGATTGGGTTAAAATAAACTTTGGCAAAACAAAATAATGACAGAGATGAGAATGAAATAAAATACACAACAAAATAATAGAATACGTTCAAGGACTACATCTATTTAGACAAACAATATCCCTTAACAAGAAAAATGATAAAGAAATTAAATAGACGCATTAAGCAGCAGAACGGAAAAATTCTGGAGCTTGAAGTTCATTTTTTTAAAGAAAAACAATTAGCAAATAAAACGAAATGAACATAACTGACAATGTATTCTACATGTTGTGACGTACGGTGCACAAACCTGGTCTGTGACCAGGAAAACAATGCCATTCATGTCAAAAAAGCAAAGAAAGAAAAATCGTTAGCAATAAAATTAGAAATGAGAATATAAGAACACAAATAAAAATGCAATGCTGACTGCTCATCAACAAAAATGGAACTGGGAAGAACATCTGAAGTTCTCAAGATGACAGATGGACATCCAGAATTCTTCCTTGGACCACGAATAGGGAGGAGAAACGTTGGTAGACAACTCGGAGATGACGATGACTTCCGCGAACTTCTAGGTAATCGATTGTCATGAGTGCGAAAGACGATACAGAATGGAAAAAAATGGCGAAATCCATTAAAAGACATGCAAGTGTACGTGTAAAGACAAGAACAATGGAAAAGTGATACAAAATGAGGTACGTCACAAGTGAATAAATGTCCGTACACAGAAAATTATAATAAATATCATATTGAAGTGTATTTATGTCAGTAAAGAACAATAAGAAACGTTTTTAACAGTTTTTACTATAAATTGATAGTTAAATGATTATCCATGTAAGCCCCTGAGGCGGCTCTCTAGGCGCAACTTATAATGTAAACTCTTGCCCAGTGCAAGAGACCCTTGCCTTAATAGGCATAAACGGACTAATAATAATAATAATAATAATAATAATAATAATAATAATATTAAATAATATTTAAAAAACGATTTTGGTTGTTTTTCATCTGACTTCTGACTTGTTGTATTTTCTGAAATCATTTATATCTTTCTATATTTATTAAATAGCGACAAATACACATTCAAGTATACGTTACATAACAATTTGATGTCATAAGCTACTAGATCGTTTTTTTGGTTTCATTCACAAAAATAAATGTTTGTTTTTTTTCTTTTCATTTCGTCATATATTTTTAAGACCAATGTGGTATAATATCAATATATTTTATAACCAATGTGGTTTTGACATTCTTTTTGCACTAAAAGCTTTGCAAACATGTCTAATGAAAGCCTAATACTATTTTGTTTCACTGCTGAATCGAAATAAAATTTCAAAATACGCAAGTTACTACTATTATTACTACTTATTAATGAATTATTTTACGCGAAAATATTAAATAGCCTACATATGGCTATGAAGTTGAATTAAAGAGTCATTTAATTAATATTATAATGTAAAGGTCACGTTTTGCGAATGCTAACAAAGACCGTTTTACGAACTATTTGGAAAGATTTTCGATCTCGTAATGCGCCGTGTGGCTTCTGCTCTGGGGTTCGTAAAATCTCCAAATAGTTCGTCCAAACGAGAGCAAAAATCGGCCTTAGTTTAGCATTTGCAACGAAGGAACGCGAGGCGAGCTGGCGGCGATGGGAATGGCGCAGCCGAGGGGTGAAGTCAGAGAATGTCAGCAGAGTGATTCGACGCGAAGTGAGGCGAGTAGGCGACGAGTGAGGCAAGGCGGAGTGGGGCGAGAGGCGAAGTGAGGCAAGGCGGAGTGGGGCGAGAGGCGAAGTGAAGTATGTGCTAAGTGAGATGAGGCAAACCGAGGCGAGGTGAGCGCGCAAAGTGAGGCAAGAGCGAAGTGAGCGGGCAGAGTGAAAGCAAGGCAGAGAGTGAGCGAGGCAGAGTGAACCGAGCGAGCAGAGTGAGGGAAGTGAAGCGAGGCAAGTGAAGGAGCAAGTGAAGCGAGCTGAGGCGGAAGTCGATTCGAGTGGCGAAGCGAGCCGTGGCGAGCGTGGAAGGCAAAGCGAGGCGGAGGGCGTGACGAGGACGAGGGCGAAGCGAGGGGAAGCGAGGTGCGACAGAGGGGCGAAGGTGGCGATGCGTTACTTGATCTGCACGATGGGCGAGCATGGAGAAGAGCGGCGAAGAGGGCGCGGCGCGCGGGGCGCGGGCGCGGCGGGCCGAGGCGGCGCGGCCCCCGCGCCCCGCGGGCCCGCGCCGCTCGCGCGCCGGCGCGCCCTCGGGGCCCGCCCGCTCCGGCGCCATCATTCACCTGCAACCAACGCGCGTCCGCTACAGCCTTCGCTCGCCGCCAAGCACATCGGGGCTTTCCGCGCGCGTCAACCTCAGCGTCACAGTCCTTAAATGTAGTGCACACTTTATCGCGGGAGGCGGAGCGATGACTACTCCCGCTGGATGGCGAGATTCGGTCTGGTTGACTGATAGTTCGGGCGCGTAACTGCTACGGCCATAGTCCCATAAATGTAGTGGTGTTTTATCCGGAGGCGATGAGTGATGACTTCACCGCTGGATGGCGAGATCCGCGCCGACCTACAGGTCGAGCGGGGGTTTCCTCAACCATGTTTCTCGCACCAGGGGGGCCCAGTCGTCCAGCCGAAAAGCTAAGTCCCGACTAGTCCCGTGCGTAATGGTGTGCGTGTGGTAGGTAGTGCATGAAAGTGTGTGGTGTGTGTGTAAATAAAGGGTGAGAAAAGGACAGGAGAGGAAAGAAACTCGCGCGCAGTCCGTGGCCGATTTGTTAGGGACTGCTTCGGCATTCGCTGGTGTTCGCTAGAATTCTGCAGACAGCAGCTGAACTGACCTAGCTACATGGCTGGTGTCGAAAACCTCTGGACTCCCTGTCGAGGCACTGCGCTGGCCATATCAGTTGACGCCCTTAACCCTCAGCCTGTTCAGGGCAAGCGTCTTAGGCGTACATGCTACTAACCTCGCAACATGCAGCGACTCAACGCTAGCGACGGGGAAAACTCTTATCCACCGTAGTACAAAGTTGTGCACAGCGTGAAACAATTCAGCGTGTACACTATACTCTCTTTCGATCTCTGCGCAATGCGCCAACTCCGATGCACTGCCACAGTGATACGGTAAACGTCCTCTATCCGAATCAGCTGGTTTGTACTAAGTGAAGGACCTTAACATATACACTATTAGAGATAACGGGGCTGCGGAAAGCACTATCATAAGAATTAAGAATTGAAAGTGTAATTAGGGATTAGACGGAGCACTCGTATCAAGGGAGGGGGAACGGAGGGCACCGTTGATGTTTTTAGTTTATGTAGATTTCAATTTTAGAAACTGAAAGTAATTAATATTTATTTCTGATGTGTTTTTCGTTACAAATATCGGTGAAACGTAAGCAGAGTTCGTTATAACTTGAGTTATTAAGGGCGTCTTTTGGATGGGTAAAAAAAGATGCAAAAACTGTGCATTAAGAATACATTTTGAAACAGTATTTTAAGTCTTAGTATAATATTGTGTAATCTATTATTCAGTTATCAAAATACAACGCTTTTTCTATCATAAATTTAAGTTCCGACATCACATACAAATATTGATGCGAGAAAGATTTTTTTTTTATTTGAGAGCCAGAAACTGAACACCGTTTATTGTTTATTGTATGCAAATGCTAAGGCATTATTATTAGTTATTTACGAAATCGTCAAACATCTCTACAAACAAAGATGCACAGGACCTTTGACCTTGGCATTCTACTAGGGTTAAATACGTTTGTCCAGCGTCTTCCACCTTAGCATGTACGTATTAACCCACTTCATCGTAATTAATCGGACCGTGTGCTGTATCATTAGGAGGGTACCAACAAGCAAAAATGCTGCTGTCGAGTATGTGGAAATGGTTCCTGATGCAATAAACAAATAGCGTTCAGAACGCCCACGTGAATCTTGGAGTTTCTATCTTCCTAATTCGCATGACGTCGGATGTCCTTTGCAGCACCGCACTCATGTTGAGAATTTGCCTATTATCAGGCATGAGAATTGCAGATTAATATGATTCAAATATCGCATTTTCAGTCAAAATCGAAAAGTCTTCACAGTTTTCATCTAAATCGTTCTGGTATCTAAAAGAAGCGTTAACACTTACTCACATGACTAGAGGCTGCTTAGTTTTCGTCAATTTACGAGTATATAGAGTTATGCTCAGGTGTATGTGACATCTGTTTCAGTCAAGGAACGTCGTAAATAACGGATTAATATTTGAAAACGGGGCGATGGTGTAGCGTACTGGAGTTGTACCCAAGTTGGCGGTTCAAACCCATCGAAGCATGATTTTTAAGGCGAAAAAATCCTTCGTGCGCCTTCCTTCGGAGGGAAGTAAAGCCGTCTGTCCCATGTTAGTAGATTTAAGCTTGCATGTAAAAGATCCTCAAACCTAAATGACGCTCTGAGCTAAATTCAAATCGCCTGTTTCTCGCCCAGAAAACCTTTCTTCTCTGCTATATGAAAGGAGCGTAGCGAAATTTGCGTGTCAGACGGAAGAGCGGGCCCTGAATGGCCGAAGTCTCGGCCAGTAAAATACCTGATGGCCCGAGTCTCGCCACGTAAAATAAGGCAAATTCAATTCAATTCAATTCAATTCAATATGACTGAGGTTCGTTGGGTCGGCCCCTGGAGGCGAATATGGGAGTTAAAAAAGTCTGACCCTGGCACCAAAACTGCTTCTGAAAGAGAATGCACGCCTGTGTGGTGCCAAATGTGAGAGAGTCAGACAATACGGGCCACAACGGGATGAGATTGTCAAGTTTCCAGGGTGCGAGCATTGTATATAGTGAACATTTCAGTTTTCTTCAGAGCTAAAGTGTGTCAGAACTCTTGGACATGAGGACATGACAAAAATTCAGTTATTTGATAATCCGAACTATTCTTGGGCCAGATAAGTTTAATATGACAACTCAATTAAATTATAAGAAATAATGAAAAATCCTGCTTACTGGATTTTGAAACAAGAATATTGTAGATTTACGAAAGCCACAATGTAAGTTTCCAAGCACACGAAAATTATGCTTTCATTGAAACTAACTCCCCGTTATTCCGAGTACATTATTTAAAACAATGTCTACATATATAGAATTCTGTCAGTACGTTTTTATAGATTCTATGCGTTCACATTCCTAGGGTTAAACAGCACATTCATTCAGGAGAGTCTTCATTCGATTAAGGAATTTTTACAAATAACCGAAAGGAAGATTTGCAGCGGATGAAACAATTCATCTTAAGGGACACGGCGAAATGAACACTGTCGTTCATTACATGTGTTGCTGCTTTGGCATTCCGACAGTCCTGTTTTCGTGCGCAGTGTCTACATGAGAATTACGTTTACAATAATGATTTTCGCGGCCGACGCGGAAGATAGATCCCTGGACGGGAATGTGACAAACGATGTGCGTTCACGCGACAAGTGACGTGCACAACGCATTTTCGCAACACCTTTTCTCACGCGCACGACAGAACGTTCTCTACGGAGGACGGGTGTTTTTTACGCACGAGTTCCTTAGCAAAAATTTAACGATAGGTTACACTGAAAAACAGAGGTTTAGAAGGGTTCCGCAGGGAAAAAGAGAAGCATAGATATAAGCCATTTGAGATCCATCGAATGTGCATATTTTCATGTATATCCGTCTATTTATACGTGATTATTCTAGCGGCCACTTTGCAACATCATGATGATGTGACATATTCATTACCACGCGTATGCGAGGAAAAGCGCTTACGTCTATGTCCTCCGCTTCTCTGGACAGGTGATCTCGGTGATAGCTTGCCTGTGCCTTCCACTTTATGAAAGACGGTACGGCTATTTTATAATAGTACATGAGTGATTGGGATAAGGTGATATTCAGATTCGAATTGTGAAGGTGTGAGGTGCTGCATACACTACAACCGCATCGTGAAAACAACTGAAGCCACAAAAGTGATTCGATTCGCAGTCTTCGGCTTTGTGGATTTGGACGCCAATGTTCCACAGTGCCACGCTTCTTCAAAATTCCAGCAGCAACTTTTACCAGCACTTAAACATTGCTCTTCCCTGGAAATGGCCAATCACATCTTACGGTGCTATTCGCGAAACACGAGTTAATTTTTTCATACATTTGAATGAAGGCAGTCATACTGTCACTGCTGATGAGAAGACAGAGCCTGCGAAGACCTCTTTCATGCAGCATTTCGGCGATTTGTTCGCTGCAAAAGCTTCGTGGGAGCAGAAATACACTTACATGCACTTCCCTGTGAATGTTCGCATGAACTTCTGCATTAACTCAATTATGCGCATATATAACTGCAAAAGTACGGTAAAAACTGTTTCGTCAGTAATATTGAGCTTTGTGAACCTGTGCTGTTATGCACTAATGCCGTTGTAAGCTAAACTCGTTCCCCGGTTGCAAACAAGCTGGAAGCTTTCGCCTTTCCTGCCTCCCCTTCACACGATCGCAGTAGACGAATCACTACGTTAGAGTAATAATAATAATGCTTCAGATGACCCCCACCACCGATGGTGTCGGGTAGGGTTTTGCAATCGAAGTCGACGTTTTCAAAATATTGATGTTCCTATAAAAACAATGTACAACGATGTATTGAAGTCCATGCTTTTAGGAACTCGAAGTTGTGTGTTCGAATTTTTAAAGTTTTCGATGTTTGGTTCATGGATGAAACATTTTTATAAAAATTATGTAAACGTTAAAATACGAAACAATAACTAACTTTGCGCTACTATCATTAAGCATACTATCCCTCGCCCCTGATGATCCTTATATCAGTATTTCCTTCGTCTTTTATCGCATTTTTTATATGGCGAGGCGTTTTATAACATGATTTTGGGGAAAATTTTAATTAATTAATGAATTTGGGGTTAATTTTAACAATAATTTAGGCACACACATGAACTGCTGGATTAAATCTTGTTGCCCACAAATTTAATGATGTAGATTACTAAACCAGCCGTAGAACAGCGATGTAAAGAAATATATACGGTTTTTGTTCGATGTATTATTAACATTGATGTTTTAATTTTTGAGCATCGATGTTTAGCAATATTCTATTCGATTGCCCAGGTACACGGTGCCACCGCCAGAGATAAAGTGCCGTGAGGGCTACTGGCCACTGGGTATTGCAGCCGTTTTCACACGGAGGTCCTAGGGTTCGGTTCTCGACGGAGACGAAGCTAGCTTCAATAGCAAAGACGAATTCGGCGTCTGTCTGGATGAGAATTCTAAAGGTCGGCTGCTCCGATGGGTACATTTCTGCGGTTTCTCCGATCAACATCAGGCGAATGCTGGAGCAGTACCTTGGCAAACGGGCCACGGACCGCGCGCGATTCCTTCCTCGCAACATACCCTTATACGCACTACACTTCTCTACCACACTCGTTGGGAGTCCCGTCGCGAGCTTGCTCCAGCTGGGGTGGCGCTCCGCTGGCGGGAGGTACCTGGGCGAAACTAACCCCGCACACCTGCGTGTAGGTCGGCGCCGGAGCTCAACATCCAGCCGGAGATCACCGCCGTCACCGTGAGAAAAAACAACAAGCACTACACTACCGCAACTAATGGCCATAGCACTTGATACGCCCGGACACACGAAATAACCAATCAATGAGCCTCCTTTCCCATCTCGCCTACGCGCGCGTGGTGGTGGTGGTGGTGGTGGGGGGAGGGGCTTGTCACATGCGCGTTCCGGCCGACGGCCGCAGGTGTGGCGAGCCGCCAGGTGAATCAGCGCGGCGCTCGCAATAGCCGCCGCTCGCCCGCGCGCGCACGTGGCCGGGCTACGGCCCGCCGCGAGGCTTTGGCCAGGCTACTGCTCCGACATCCGCCTGGTGTGGATCGGGTGGCTGGTACGTTGCACGACAACTACGGAGGTAATTAATCCCGTAAGTATAGAAGATTAAGGAGGGTAGAGTTCCGTAAGTGTGAGTGCTTTTTTCCCCTCGGGAGGTGTCAGTGATCTTCCCCAACCAGGTATCTCCCACACGCGGGTCATCACCCCAGCTGGGGTATTATTAGAAACTAATCTGCTAGTGTGAATGATATCTTCACACTTTTTTCGTTAATCAATGAATTCAAATCACTTCTGAAACTGGAATTTTCAATTTTACATTCTCTTCTTAGAGTTTATGAGTTTACGACATGTACTTCGTGCCCCTAAACACAAACGCGCCCACAACTCAGCACAGAGACATAATTTAACTAACCCGATTAAAAAATAAATAAATAAATTTAAAAAAAAAACAAAATAATCAGGAGAATCCAATAGTGCAGTTCTTTTCAACAAACCTTTGACCTATCAGCTTCTTCACCGGGATCAGAGGTACAGAAATTATTTTGGACAAAATGGAGAAAAATACAAAGTTAAAAAATTTTGACTATTAAAAAAAAACTACAAACAAACAGAAGGTGCCACGCCCCTCCCGGCATCCGCGGAGGTGGACGTGGCCGGCGAGAGCATCATATTCCCCTTTAGCCGCGTGACATCACAGGCGGCGGCGGCGGCGGCGAGCATCGCCCACCGCTATCTGCGCCCGCCGCCCGCCCCGCTAAACGCAGCAGCGAACTTGCCCACGCAGCCTGCAACGCTTGCGCCGCGCATGCACCCTCTCCCCCGCCCCGGCGATAGGCGAGCACTGCGTCTGGCACTCGCAGGCGCGGAGAGGACGCGTGGAGGGTGGAACGAGGAGGAGGAGGAAGTTCCAGAAAGAAGACGGGAAAAAAATATTGAGGAAAGGAAGTAAAGAAGGGATAAAGATGGATAAACGCCTTTGACGTAGTTTACGTTAATTTCAGTATTATAAAAAAAAAAAACAACAAAACAACAATATATATATATATATTATATATATATATATATATATATATATAAAGAAAAATTGTTTATAATGCAAATGGGTATACGTGGCAGCTAATATATATTACGTTTATTGTACATTTTTGCATATTTTTTACACACATATACATGTGTACGTATTTTCCTCCAGATAGCGATTAATTTCGATCTACCTAATATCCCACACACACTCACACACTTGTGTATATAAAATATTCACTCTCATCACGTTCTCATACATCGTTATTTTAATTTGAAATAGGTGTCAGACTTCTGCGCCATCTTGTAACTGTACTTATTTTGCCGATGAGTAAGCTTTCAAAATTCGGAGAGTGGTAGTCGGCCACGTTAATCCATAGCGACGCGTTTCTTTAGTAACTTGCCAGAATTGGCCTCGTCTGCTGGTGTTTCGAATGGCACAGTGCAAAGCTCGATAAAGCAGTTGGACTCCGCTTCCTATCCACCCAGCAGGAAACGAAGTTTGTGCAAGCTGGTGTACAGCATTAATGAAGAAAACTCAGTCTTCCAGATCGCTTCTCGCTTTTCCAACAGGCGCATTCTATTCGTCTTTTTCTTTCTTTCTTTGTTTCTTTTCAATTGAGCCACGTCAAGAAATCAAGGCTGCATTGCGCCCGGGGACCCGGGCCGGCCGGAGGGGAGGCATTTGCGTGCTGGAAAAGAGCGTCCTAATTGGTGGGTCTCGCTCGGCTGCCAGCATCGTTAATGATGTTTCTGGATCTGTTGCGGCAAGTGGCAGCGGGACTTGAAATGGCATTTTTTTTCCTTCGGAAAATTCCAATATTTCCCACGATGATACGTGTCGGACTAGGTCGTCGACCATTCTAAATGAGGCGGCTCAGAACATAAATAATGTCACTGCAGTGCCCCTGACCGAAACGTCCCAGGTTCGAGTCCCGACGGTGACATGATTTTTGACACTACCTACGTGGTTAGATCAAATTTAGTCGCAGTCTGAATAATTCTACAGGCCAAGTGTCTGACAGTTTGTTTTCCGTGTTTTCACCGACCAATTCCAGGCGAATGTCGGAGCAGTACCTAAAAAACGAGCGATGGATCGTGCGTGATCTTTGCTTCTACTTCCTTGACAAATCCTCGTCCCTTTTTTGCATGCACTACACTACTACACATGTCGGTGGGAGATCTGTCGGGATGTACAGGTCAGCCTTCCGCGGCTCGAGTCATGTCTTCTTGGCTGTCAGGATGACGCCGTGTCGTTGTCTGAGAATCCGACATTACGCCTACCATGTCGCAGGCTTACTCATACCAATGACCGTCACTGGCCGAAACGACAGGCGAAACGTCGGACTTCTCAGCCAACGACGCGGCCGCACCCTGACAGCCAAGAAGTCACGATCATTCAGTCGGGTGCTTAGCGCTTGACCCGGCTGGGGCGAAGACACGCTGGTGGGAGATACCTGGATGGGGAAACCCCTCAAACTGCCGATTAAGTCGTCACCCGATATCACCTTTCGGCAGAGGAAGAACTTCGCCACGTCCCTTGGCAAAAACATGCACAATACTTACGGAACTAATAACGACAGTTGACGCGCTCCGAAACACGAAATAATTAATCAAGAGTCGACCACAGGTCAGTGCAACTAGTTTCCAATGCGCGCAGAAATTGAAAGAAAACTAAGCAGTATGCTGCCTCTATGGTTTCGTTCGTTGCCAAGGAACTCGGGAAAAATTTTAAAAAATTAAAGTTTCGGTTTTAATGGCCAAATGTAAATATTTGTTTGTGTTATTCCGCCAATTCCCATAGTGCGCAATCAGAATAAATTCTCCTCAGTTCGTCACTGCTTACAACACAGCTGACATGTGACAGCAAGGCTTTAAGGAAGGTCCCGCGCGCCATATTTGCTATTAACGTGTTGGGTTCTAGACTATAAACTTCTTGTTCTTTAGCAGTGTGCGTGCTACTTTTGGGAAAACTATTTTGTATGGCTTTGTTCAGCAGCGGGGTATTAGTAACAATACTTTTCTACTTGATATAGAAAGATACAATAAATCACGAAGAATAGAACACGTATAATATTCAAATCCTAACTTCAATTCGTTTAATTTTATAAGTTTTACAAACTCATATTCAAGAAACTCAACATTGCACATAAATATGAAGCTAAAGAGAATACAAGTAGGCATGATATTTAGCAAACGTCTACCAAAGTGACTTCATGATTCTTAAGTTTCGAGCACAGTGGCTACATCTTGTAGTATTATTTAGTCTAGGCAGGAATTAATTTGTTCTTGGTTAAAGATAGAGGTAACAGGGCTGGTGCAAACATTTCAGCTCCTTAATCAAAGATTTTCGAGGAAACAAACATTCACATCCTATCTAATTTAACACTGACGCAGTAAGATTAGCAATGATAGAAAAATCCTGGAAGATTTCCAATCTAATCATGTAATGGGATACACACTGTTATCTACTCCATTTGATAGTCTGGCAAGCAACATTCTTTAAACAAGTAACTCGTATTTGAGAATTAAAAACGTGTTCAAATTGAGTAAACCAGTCTTCGATGCGATACATCGTTTTGGTTTTATTCATCATATTCCAAGTTTCCGTTTAAGACAGGATTTTGTATTTTGAAAAATGTAGATCTTTTTCATTATCTGGCTACTTACGATAGAAAAGAACTCAAAGAGTTTTATGTTTATCAACAAGTATACAAGCCTTCGGATGAAAAACAAAATTATTTTATTATAATGAACGAAGAAGCACTCTGAATGCAGCTATGCACACATTCCTGTTTTTTGTAGTCAATCTATTTCTTAGGACAAAACCGAGAAAATGGCTGAACAGAGGATTAACAAACGTATGAATTATTTTTTCCGACAAATATTCATATGTAGAAAGATTTGTTAAAGTTCACATGCACTCAACTCATCAATTATAATCAACCGTTTCGAACTCGTATTTTAATGATATATATGATATAATTCGTAAACTATATTTTACAAACGCATGATAATGAGATATTATACAATACCATTGATAGAGAATGACCCCCCCCCCAAAAAAAACAGCGTCCAACTATGAACTTTTGCCATTTAGGCATTACTGAAGTAAAAGGTTGGGACTGAATTCAAGCGTCAAATGCTCGAGAAATATTGTTCACAGACTACATTCCGTCTCGTACAGAAGGTGGACAAAAATAAAAACACGTTGTACAACGCATGCCTGAATTGGAATGTTTCAGCGAAATTTGTCTCTGACGCTGAGCTATTTGCCGTTTACCAACACTTGTACAACCTCCCCGAAACGTTGCAAGCTTCATTGTCGAGGCAGTGTTTTATCAACATGATTACAGACCGGAATTATACGTAAAATCATATTTTAAAAAAAAATTAATTAGTTGTTTCATGCACATATCACGACAGTACACTCTGTCTGCAAGGTGGAAACACGCATTTGCACTGATACGATCCCTAATACAGTAGTATAGCATGGGTATATTAGAAGGGATATCTTAAGGAGGACCTTACACTGAGCTTCTGGTAAACCAATTTAGCTCAAGTGTTAGGTGTTTCGCAAGTCACAGTATCGAAGATTATGATTTCACACAAGACAAAAAACAAACCGTCCCGTCGAATAAACAGCAACGGGAATGGAAGAGGTGTTGGTCGATTGAGACAGACGGACACTGAGCAGAATTGTAGCGAAATATAAGTTCACTGCAACTGTTAATGGCCTGCTGAGCTCTTGGTGCGCTCACAAGCCCAATTAGTACTCTAATGTCAAAAACAGTCACAAAATATGGGGAGAAGTGCAATATGTGCATTTTTTTTTTTGACATTTGGGGTTGAAATACGAATACATGTATATACTTATGAATATACTCAAACATTACTAACAGAGCTCCACGAGCAGGGGTTTTAAATGTCCTAAGTCACTAAATCCAATAGAAGTCCTCAATTGAGGTTCCCCATCGATATTAAACTGTGATATTTGCATTGTCTGTCTGTGTAGTGATATGTATTTTGTAACATCTCCAAGAGTCAAACGGCTAAATGATGTAAAATCAAGTTGTTTGCACTTATAAAAAAAAAAGTTGGACATTCCTGGACAATTTGACCAATGTCTTCATTTACTCTCTTATTGGGATGCTTCCATTTTGCCCCTCTCTGCATATGCAATCCAATGATCAACTTTTCGTTTTACAGACATTCAATTCGGATACAAATATAAGAATTTGTATTCCTTCAGAATTAATTTAGTAGCCCTCTTCTATAACGTATTCTAAGTCACAAAATCCAAAACAAAAACCCTCACGGAAACAAAAAATAAAAAATTGAAAAAGAAATTTACTTACTGACAGTCAAAGTCTCGATTTCTGGCATAGTTGTGAAAAGACAAACATCTTACCTGAAACAATAAGAAAATCTCAATAAGATCCACAGATTTTAAACGACCAAGAAATGAAATGAGAATAAGAACTTCCAAGTATAAATATTTTTCAAGTACTCAATTGATTCACTGTCTAATATAATAAAACGCGATAACGTACATGAGATGAGAAGAATAACGAACAATCATATAGGAAACAATAAATTAAATAATAGATGTGATTCTAATTGTTTCCAATAAGGTTGTCTTCAATTGTTTGTTAAACACAACGACCATACTTACAGGGTTGTGTCGATGGTCGTTAAAAACGAAACAAACCGTCAGAAGTCATTACAGTATTAAATATTAAAACGGTTATACAATAAATTAATAGAATAACATTTTAACATATAAAAATCTAGACGCTACAATAGCACATACTTGACGTACTTGTTATTTTATTATTATTATTATTATTATTATATTGCACCTTCTATCCTCACTCTTCAGTCATCACTCGAAAAATGTAAACATTATAACTTAAAATATTCGAAAACTATTAATATTTGAGAAAAGCAAGCATTAAATTTATAACTTAAAGAGCAACTATTGAGAAATAGACTTGATTACAATAGAAATCTCTAGCTTTAATGTTGAAGATATAACATAGATTCGAAAAATATTCGAACTATGTTGCAATACACGAGGGAGGCAATTATTCGTACAGAACAAGCGCAACTAGGGGCTGAGAGCAGCATTATTGCTGATGTCTCTGCATCGAAACTGACCGGGACGTCCTGGATTCGAGTCCCAACGGAGGCGGATTTTCGACACGTACGTACGTAGCTAGGTCGAATTCAGATTTGTGTGGAGGAGAGTTCTAGCAGACAGCTGCTCTCATCGATGGTTTTCCACGCGTTTTCCGATCACACACATACTAACAGGCATTACACTATCACATATGTCGGAAACAAATCGGAGCTTCACCCAGCTGGGGCGGTGCTCCGCTGGGGAGATACCTGGAGAAAGAAATCCGTCAGCACGCCGACGTGTAGGTCGGCGTCTGTTCGCACGTCCCAGCCAGGAGGAACACCGCCACCTCTGGAGATAACACACTCACCACACTAACGGGACTAACGACTGTAGCAGTAGGCGCGCCCGGAAACCACCACCAACCAAAAAACGAGAGACACGTGACCACCCTACCACTGCACCCTACCGCTCCTACAGAATCATCAACTCTACTTATTGGGTTTTAACGCAGATAGTGTCTTATAAATTAAAGAAACCTTCACTGCATTAAATTAAAACAAGTTTATTCAAGATATTAATAAGTTTAAATTCTTAATAATTAAAAATCTAGGCGCTACTGCAACATATACTATGTGATCAAAAGTATCCGGACACGTCCCAAATGATGTTATGGTGTGGTCGTGTTTTTTATGGAGGGGCTTGCAACCCTTGTTGTTCTGTGTGACACTATCACGGCAGAGGCCTACGTTGATGAACACCTTCTTGCTTTCCAGTGTTGAAGAGCAATTCGGGGATGGCGATTGCATCTTTCGACAAGGTCGAGCACCTGTTCACACTGCACGGCCTGTGGCGGAGTGATACACGACAATAACACCCCTGTAAGGACTGGCCTGCACTGAGTCCTGGCTAGAATCCTATCGAACACCTTTGGGATGTTTTGGAACGTCGTTTTCGTGCCAGGCCTCACCGCCCTACATACCTCTCCTCAATGCAGCACTCCGTAAAGAATGGGCTGCCATTCCTCAGGAAACCTTCCAGCACCTGATTGAAAGTATGCCTGCGAGAGTGGAAGCTGTCATCAAGGCTACGAGTTGGCCACCACCCTACTGAATTCCAGCATTACCGATGGAAGGGCGCCACGAAGTCATTTTCAGTCACGTGTTCGGACACGTTTGATCACATAGTGCACATTGCCCCTCGTGACGCGTATACTTCCACGGAGCGCACTACACCCGCGACGCCGCGCGGGGATTGCCTTAACGAAGTGAGCGCGTAGCGGCCGCGACGCGCGCGTCTCCATAGCGACCGGCGCCGCCGCCGCCGCCGCGTCGTCGCCCGCGTCCGTCGCCCGGCAACCCGATAGTGATCGGCCGAGGCGGGTCGAGTGGATGGGTCGGGCCGCCGCCGCCGCCGCCGAATTGAACCCGGGAGGGCCCGCGATGTAAAGTGGAACGCCCGTATTCACAGATACCCCCGCCGGTTTCACCTGTTATCGATGTTTTCTGCTTGTTTAAATGAAAAATTGCTTGTTCGTAATATTAGATTTAAATTTATTTAGTCAAAAAACAGTAAAAACTGTATGTGACGTATGAGGGAAAAGAGATATTGTACTGTTACGTGGACATAACGGAACCAGAGGAACGAAATGCCTCTTAACGGGCGGCGCCCGTTAAGGATTTGATACACCTTCGTCCATTAGGAACATTCCAAACAAATGAGCTGCATCTAAAGCTATGCGCCAGTATTCCAGTCAAAAGAAATGTACTATTTTATGATTTCTTTTCTTAAAAAAAAGCGGTATTACGAAACGTACTGAAGGACACATGGTCGTTATCTGAAATAACGAACTCGGTTGGTTATAAAATCTTGGGTTATTTTCTCTATATCGATCTTATAGGCTTAATACCTATTGCAATTAGGCTTAAGATTTTCTTCGTGACATTCAGCTTAAAACATTAATTTAACAACGGCTTAAAGGACTTTTCAACGAGATGCATTCAATGCCGTGAGATCACCTATGCATCTCCAGAGAGATTATTATAAGAAAGGATCGCTTTCACAGCTGCGTCTTGGCTTCTGCTGGTAGCCTTACTGCAGGTCATGCCCATAATGAATATAATTGCGAAAGTAGTTGATGAGTTCGTTTGCAGTTGGCGCACATGTACATGCTTTCGACACAACGTCTTGCAATGCCATCGTCCAACATGACTGTTTTGTTTTCCGACCTGTCAAACTGGTCCCTTCTTAGGCTAATGCCTCTATACCATACACGGTGCAGCGCGGCGCGGACTTTTCTACTTGTACAGACCTTATCCTGAAAACTATTGTTGAAATTAGTGACACAGGATTACTTTGAATGGGATACAAAAAAATTAAGTACGCTAGAAGATCGTGTTCCTCAATTATTTGTAAATGTCAAACTCCTGCATCTCACAGATGCATCCCGGGTTAATTAGTTCTGAAGTGAGGAAAGAAATTATTATTCGGGCACAATAGGTACGAGGCAGGCGTTTGCAGTTGTGTAAACCATAATTTGGTTGCTTTTGGCAACATAAACAAGGATTTTACGAGTATTACCTAATTAAATTAAAGTTCATAATGTCACATGACCTTTTCTTATTTGCACTTAAATTTCAAGTGTGCTGGTAGACCTTATAGTATTCATCTGCAGTCCAGCGCGTTATTTTGCTCGATCTTCTACGAACATATATGTACGTCGTTCGAACAAGTGACTTGGCCAACATGACAATTTCTGAAGAAAACAATTCCACTTCTGCAGACTCATAATAATTATATAACTTCACAGATGAGTCGACAATAACACGTTCACATTGTGCTGCAGCATGTAAACCATACGATTTTTCCAAATTGAAGAAATCCTTGTCCTGAGTCGAAGCTCTGCGATTTTGAAAATCATTCATTAGTTTTTGGGACTACTGTACATGACGCACTCCGGACAGTTTCAAAATTTTCTCAAAAAACTGCCCCAATTTTCTTCTTTAAATTTCTTGTAAGAAATGAGTTAAGATATTTTGGGCGGCGATAAATGGCAGCTGGCAAGAGTATGTGGCAAGTCCGAGTAGATAGCCTAGATCAAAAGAAATACAAAACTAATACGAGAAATTCTGTGCCATTCACCACAATTTTCTTGTTGCCGTCGGTAGGGCTCGGCCAGGGCAATGTTAGCAATAGCGATTTAAAGGGCTCTGCCATCCGCAAAGCCGCGAATACGGAATCTGCCCAGGACAAACGGCAAATGCTGAATAATGTCTGCGATAAGAGCGAAGGCCGCGCACTAATAAAGTGGATTATCGAGAAGAATACGGTAGTTCTTTGTTGCTCGCGAGCACGGTAGAGTGTTAGGTAATTATTTACCGAACATGGGTTATTATTTTGCGGCGGCCCGACCAATGGGCGTAGTTCCGCACCCGTGTATTTGACGCACGCCTCCTCTCATTTTTATCCTCGGTGCAGGTCTAGGGGACATTTTTCGAGCAGGGGCGTCCCCTTGGGTGTGACTCTTTCGCCTCCAGATCTCGGTCACAGTTAAATATATCCGAGCTCTCTGGTTGGAGAATGTGAGATGGCGTTAGGATGGGATTCGATAATGCTGGGTAAAAAATGTGTAAACTATTTCTTAGAATAAAATAAGAGAACCAAAAATAGCGCGCTTTGAATCGTCATTAAATGGTGTACACGGTACAGTCTTTTGATGCGAGTACGTTGGCACACGCTGTAAAACCTTACATCACGATACGAAAACACCAATGTCCTGTAACAATGCGATTAAGGAAGTAACCCACGTAATAAATACAGACCTTAATGAGACTACATGATAAACGATGCATTTTTAAAAATAAAATGTTTCAGGTAATGAAAAATAAACAATCCAAAGATACAGAAATTATACATGAATTATAGCTGAAGAAAATATAAACTGTCCTTGGGTTAATTAGTTCCCTCGTCGTACATCCGCGTACTGATGCTGAGTGATGATGACTGCCTCTCCGGCACCCTCACGCCTTCAAACATAATTGAAGCATACGCGTATCGTTTTTCCTGTTTGCCTAAGTTTCGTTTACAAAGCCTGGTGAATGTTTCAAGGCTAACAAAGGATAACACGTCTGCAGCCTGTGGTATCACTGAAAATTAAACGCGTTCCTGTCAAACTTCTTACGAAGCTTATCTCTTTTACTTTCTCTCGCTTTGTGAAAACAATTTTACCAAATGAAAAATTTCATTACAGTCAGATAATTTTATTTATTTTTTAAATAGCATCTCCGACACAATTGAATGTTGAAAAAATGATACGTTTAAAGTGCCTAATTATTATATTGAAATGTACACTATGTAATAATAATAATAATAATAATAATAATAATAATAATAATAATAATAATAATAATAATAATAAAATACAGTAGAACCTCAGTAATCCGAACTAATTGGGGCGTAGTCTTTTCGGATTCGGAAATGTTCGGATAATCCGAAAAAATGTACCGTACATATACAAATACCTCTATAGGATTACCAGACAATGTAACGTAGCGAGTGATGTGAGACAATGGCAAAGTAGCATAGCGATCGGATCACCCCATCACATCATCAAGCAGATCCAGTTCCTTACGGCGAAAGAAGATTACCTATTTTGCAAGTTCCTTTAAGTGAAAATACTTCTACGTAAACATGTGATATACACCGTAGTTACCAGCGCAATAAACGTTTCATTTCGGCAACTTGTGTTTCAATAATTAGTTGTGTAGCCCTACAGTAAATATACAATTCTTCCTTAGACTACATACAAGCATTTTATTTTATTTTTTTATTTCTCCATCATCCCGAATTTTTTTCGAATTATTCAAAATTTCGGATTTTTAGGCTTTGGATTCGTGAGGTACTACTGTAATAATTAACATTTCTCACAGAGTAGAGGCAATTGTCAGAATCAATCGTCACATTTTTTATTGATACCAACACAATTAACAATTTCCCCGACAAATCATCATATCCTTCGATTTAACCAAGGAAATGCTGGTACAAGATCGCTAGGTTTTCATTAACGAATTAGTATCGAGAAAGACTTTTCATAATTGATGCATTCTGCGCAATAGACGGCTGCAGAACATCTTCATTGCAGCACATTTAGGGATCACTCACGTTCTAGCATAGACGTGCGCATAGAAGGGGAGAAGGGCCCGTGGCTCCCCTGAAAATATGAAAGTAGCCCAGTAGCCCTATGCAATATAACATTTTATTTCCATAAATATAATCAATTTCTTATTTCCCCCCTTTTTTGAAGTTGGTACTTCGTGTATTGACACACACTTAGGAAAGAAGCTCTCCAAACAATTGTCATCCTGTAAATGGTTCAATGTAAAATTAATTGCATTTGTTATCTGCAACATTAACTTAACAATTCCATTCTCCTTGTATCAATTTTTTATTTTGTAGAAGTATGTCATATGTAAACAAAAAAATAACGAAACAAGATTTATCAACTTTTTTGTTACCGTTTTTGTTACAAAGCGGCAATAAAGAGCTTTTTGTGTCGAAAATTTGCCCGGGCAAGATTTCAACACTTTTTATTCTTACGAAGTGCGAGAAAGTAAAAAGTGGGTCCCAGAGGGACCCTGAAATGCAGTTCCCTCTTCCTATTTTAGGCTGTGCAGGCCTACGGTTAAATTGTTTTTATTGAGAAGTAAAGAGAAAAGCAAAGACTTAACGACACGACTTAGTTCGATCCATCACTTCCATTGCACAACTATCGAGAACACTGCAACAGAAACTCATCAATCTGCCTCCAAGTTGTCACTGATTTTGTTTAAATCTAGAGTTGGCTGGAAAATACGTGTCGATGCAGAAAATACTCAGTTCGCGGTTGATCGAAACTACGCCGAGTTCCGAGAGCTGTGAAGGCGGATTGAAAACAAGTCCACTGCCTGAAGAAAACAGAACAAGGTCGCGAACATTTGACAGGCGCTTGACAGTCACATCTAGAATATAGACTTCACGCTACAAAAATGTTCCATTGAGATGCCTCGAAAACACATTTTACGTGTAAATATTAAAATGCATTATTCATTTAAAATTTCCATTCAGGATCGATATTATTATAAATACACATACAACACAATTTTTTTGTTTTTGTTTTGTTTTTGTTTTAGAAAATCACTTTCAGAATAGACGAAACTGCTCATTTTCTAGCAAGATTGGTTTTTGAACAGTACAACCACTTATGATAAGGTGGAGATTCTATCCAAAGGTGACGAAAACCACAAAATATAATAATAATAATAATAATAATAATAATAATAATAATAATAATAATAATAATAATGGCACTAAACAGTCGTGGATAAAAAAACCCTTCAAATTCTCATTTCTAACTCAAAAAAGTAAACTAAGTCTACGGTATTTTAGCAAAAATCATCATTTCTTAGTTAAGTAAAGAAATATGTTTAGAAAATAACCTATTTTTACAAGTATCGAGCTAAACGAATTTTTCATTTAGCAATTACATACGGATCAACCGGCATTATCGGGCGCCAGCAGGATTGGATTAAAAACGAGACGGACTTCAACGTATGCACATTATTTACTCACATGCACACAATTACAGCCTATATCGAGCATCAAAAAAGTAATAATGGTTTTAATAATGATATTTAATATACGAGTTATCATTTAGACTGTACAATTCTACAAGACGAAACATGCCTGTAATGCGCATCGTACTTAAGCTTCTGGGTCATTGACCCCCATTTCGATCAAGTTTTTCGTCCAGTTTCCCTGAGCCTTTGAGCGAATGCTGAGATGGCCCGTTGAACATAAATCTCAGTTCACTACTTGTGCCCATTTTCTAGAGTTCAATGTAGAATTCAGTTATTCAAGAAATCATTCGTTCTCCAGGTTTTCGCGTCAGTAAGTCGATTACTTTACGAAGGGCACGCTGAGGGATAATAGCCAAAAGCTGTAGCTGATTAGCCTTCGCACATAGTTTTTAATTATTAACTTTTCAATTCTTGCCCCCAAACGCTCGTTTCCACCTGCACTCGAACACGAGTTAAGGATGGGGGTCCCAGAACGCATGAAAACGTGCACAGAACACACTCTTTTAAAGAGTACGCCGCACACATTCAACTGTTTTATTTTCGACGTTCAACGCAAACAAAAGAAAGCGCGGCGCATCGGACGCGCATCGCACCGCGCAGGTGCAGGGGCAGCATGTGGAGCACGGAGCGAGCAGCGCGCGGATGGTCACACAGCGATTGCATAAGGCGCGCGCGCGGTGGCTCAGGGCCGCCGCCGCTTACGAAATACGAACTTCGGCCCCGCCCCCACCGCCAGCCATCGTCGCCGCCTACGCCACCTGAACGACGCTGCCGTTGACCGTGATACGAGGAGATACCGTCGGCGCTGAAGAACGGTGTCACTTCGCGAACTGCCATCACGTACCGAAAGTAGGCACGCGCAGCCTTAAACGAGGGGGAGACAACTGCGATTCTGGGCCCCCCTTTTCCATTAAACTTTCGGTTTTTAAACTTTACACATGTCACATTTTACTAACAAATTCACAACACGTACCAAAAGGCTATAGACAGAATTACTGCAATGACTCGATGAATTAAAACAATTCGTTTTTATGTTGAACCATTTACTTTGATGCCAGATGGTTTAGAGATCTTCTTCCCAATTAATGTGTGTAAAAAAATTCTCTAAGTTACCAGCTTAAAAAACTGGAAAAAAAGGAATTGAAAAAAGGCCTCTCCTGGCCCGCCCTCTGTGCATGCCTATGTACACGAGAACAGTTCATATCCTGAAGGGTGCAATTTATTTCGTGGGCAAAGTCGAAGAGCTTGACTCTCTATTTAGAATTAAGTAAACTCAAGGACAAAACTTCACGAATGGGTTTTTCATGTACAAAGGTAGAAAGCTCATTGTCATACGGGTCGGGAAATGCATAATTATAGTTTTAAGGCCAACTAGTTCGAGCATTCTTTTCACGAATCAAGAAATGCTCAAAGAGGCTTCCTGAGTACAAAAAGGCCTATACAATTCTTTGTATCGAGAGACGGACTCGTCCAAACGTGGATCCAGCCGATCATTTGGGGGCGGGGGGGGGTCGTAGATTTTTTCAAATAATATAAAAACATTTGTTATTATATTGTATATTGTTTATGTACTGCAGATATGATACTATACAATATTATTGATACAATAATTACATAATTCGAATATAAACGAAAACTAAGCCATTTGGGGGGGGGGGACATGCCGCCCTCCCCCAGATACGCCAGTGCCTATAGGGCGTACTGTTTGGGAGTCTTTTACAATACGTACCTTGTGCTCTCGCATCTAAGTGATATTCAGAGTTACCAAGGTAGCGCATAGTTGTCGTGATAATGGGAAAAGGAAGGGGGACAGAGAGGAACGGGAGGGAAGAAGTTGAAGGAAACGGGAAGGAATGAGTTGAAGGGGGGGAGAGAGGTTGGGAAGGGGGCAGGGAGGAGACAACGAGGAGAGAGAAAGACAGGACGAATGAATAGCAGGAGAAGAGAGAGGGAGAATTTAAAAAAATATCTTGGTCGAACACCACACTCTATATTTCAATTCTAAAAATGAAGTACGAATTTTTCGTCGTTATTTTAAACGTGGAATTTTCTACGTTGTTTCTAAAATGATTTATTACTTGGCGTTATCTCAGACAAATCAATTTATTCTGAGATAGTGTCCTTGCGAATGCAAAACTTGCGGGAGAACGTTGTTCAAACATGGACATAGAACAAACCCATACTCGCCAGAAGGTCTTTGATCTATTACATTTTTTGCAGAGTGTAGGGTAAAATGTGATAAACAATCACGTGACCAGTAGCGTGTGAAGTGAAATGCATTGGCATAGAGAAGCATTATCGGGTCCACTAGTAATTTATAAAATATTTTTACCATAACATTTGTTTATAGTCCTTTTGTTTCACTAGCAGTATGCAGCTCATATGGCTAAATTTATGCAACTAATTACGTTTGGATATGTAAATCCTCTTTTTCCATTGGCAATCCTAACGAATCGAAAATGTCATAATATTTGTGTTTTACTCTTCCTGTTTAAGCATTAAGTGGCCGTGAACAACAGATCACATACAAAAATTGACAAAACCCAATCTTCTACGAAATTGTACATCCAAAACTCTAGGTCGGTACATTAAGAATTGGAGCTTCTTTGCTTATATTTTAGACTTTATTTGAAACATCTAACGTCCCATATCGTGGGAAACAGCTGATGAGCAAAAAATGAATTTCAGAATCTAGGAGTCCTAAACTTATAAATTCGCATACAAACTAAATATTAATGGGTTACTTTTAAGGGTGCAGCCCACGGGAAGAAACGGTACTGTAGCCACTGCGGCGTCCTGCCAGGCAGCCCAGAAAATAAGCCAAGCGAACCGAACTTTTCCATGCTCACTCAACCTGCCAATCAACACGTCGCTACTAAAACTCCGGAACAATTGGCACGGCAGCGCCCGAAGTAGAAAGCGACAACACAGAAGATGAAGTCACAAGCAAAAAGAAAATGCAAAAGACTGGCAGAAAGGAAGTTTGAAAAGACGTCAGTTATAAGGTTGAAAAGAAAAATGTTAAGCACCACAGTGTGAACGTATCTACAGAACTCTTACAGATAGAAACGTCGAGGATGAAGTAAGTGGAAGGGGGAAGAGAATACAAATATCTTGAGTAAAATGAACGACAAATTTTCTAAAAGTTAAACCAACTAGGGCAATGATAGATTTTACGAAGTTAACTGTGAACTATTTTTACATATAGTTGTTCTGTGCACAAACAAAATGTGTTTTTTCAAAGGTTTTTCATATAAAACTTTTAGTGTTCCCCCAAAAAATTGATAAAAACGACTATTCTGGGAAAGGGTTTATTTACGACGGAGTGCTCAAGTATGATTACATCACTCGTGCGATATGCGACCGGGATAAATAATTCATATGTGAATTACAACAGGACAAATCTCTATTCATTAAATTAGATATTATACGGCCTATATGACTTTTCGTAACGCAAACCTATTTTAGATTTTCTTTCGTTGCAATCCGCTCGGTAATGGACTGGTAACCAACCTACCGCCAATAAACAATGGCGCATCCAGGGCAGGGAGTGGGCTGTCATGTGACTTCAGACCCGCTTCCCCAAAAGACAAGGGCACATATTTAGTAATTCGGCTTTTCCTAATTTTCTGTGCTAACGACAATCATTCAATATACCAAATGTTTCATATTAACTATAAATCAACAAATAAAAGAACTACTTATATACATCATAAACTCATCAATATCAAGTCGTCTGGACACACTACCTTAAAATCCTGGGTGCGCCTCTGCATATTCACGATTCCCACCAACAGTTTCCGAGTTGTCACATTCACGAAAGTCACTTTTTTATTTTTGTATTTCTTTCCCACATTTCTTTCGTCATGGTTTGTATCAATTGTTATAATATTTTACACTAAATGACTCGTGAAAAAATAATTCCCTAACAATAGCTCTCAGAGGACTAACACTTTCGAGCAATGTCGGGTGGCGCTCAACTCTTCTGGCTTGCTAAATCCATTGATTGATTTCCTGTTCGCATACATTAGATTACATACAAGGACTGGCACAATTTCTACGCGAAGACATTGTATGCGCCACTCAGGAATTCGGAGAAAGTATTCGTGAGTCCTCGTCCTCGTAAATATTCTTTAAAGCAAGTGACATTCAAATAATATTACAATCGACGAACTCAGCAGAAAATGCATTAAAAATGATGTAAAAACGTAAAAAAATGACTTGTTGGTCGAAACCGACGAAAAATGTCAAAAAAAAAGAAGACATATAAAAATGGGACATATATTTTTTCTCGTTTTTTGTGGGCACATTGTATCTTTAGCCATGAACGTGAAAAGTTATTAAAGTCATTAAGCAAGGATTTAAATCCAGGAGCACACACACGCCGCTCTTCGTCATTCGACACGCCTCCCGGCCGCAACTGGCCCTACCGTTTTGGAGTATGCCAACAGAATCGGCGGCCGCCCTGGACCGACTTCCAACGTTTCGGGGACGCTGCTCTCGCTTACAGGCCCGGTCATTATCACTTCGCACAACTAGCATACGAGGACACACTGGCATCGCGTTAATTCCAACATCACACGCACCGAACATCACGCGCCTAGCGTCTCACCGTTTCCCCTTTCACAGGCTGCTCTCCGTCGATGGCTCTGACAGCTGGTCATGGCAACTTTCAACTCCGAAAAACAAAAATAAATAATCAAGCCTTTATTAATGACGAGGCTCCCGACAAAAGACTGCTCTTTCGACTGATCTCGTGTTCCGATCGAACTCCTGGACACGAACGAATGCAACAGTAAAGAGATCGACTGCTCGGGACTGTAAAACGAAAATAGTCGTGTCTAAGGATGGTAACAACAAATGTGTTTTTACTAGTTACAGTACCTCTTACCACAATCGTACCAATGAAATATTCTGAAAACAACAACAAAAACAATGCATTACGTTTTCTGGCTGTTGAAAAAAATATTGTAGAAAACATATGTATGTAGTGAGGGATTCATTTATTGGTGCCATCTGAAGGTTAACTTACGGTAGAAGTGAGAAAGTTTTGCATTCAATTCAACTACAGGAACAAAGGCGATTATATATAGCTACCCACCATCCCTGCATGCAGGAGGCCTTTGCCCTTAATTGGATGAAACAAAGCTAATAATAAACATATATAGTGTCATATTTCCATTCACTATCACTATGTAAACGAAACCGAGAAAGATCAAACGAAACCAATTTTCACTGTTTTAATGAAATTATATGAAACACAAACAAATTGACACGTTTCTATTTATAAACTAAAAAACATTTTCTGTGAAATAAAACTTAATATTTAGACAACTGATAAATATAGGTACCAAACAGTTCCGCCCGTCACTAATTAGCGCATGGCACAAAGGCAAATGGTTATATTTTATTTTTTATATTTCCTGCGTTCTTTTTGAACAGAACTTCAAATTTTATTTTACCAATAGATTTGATTCAGAGTGTACGTTTGCTTAATTTTTAGCCCGACTTTCACCTTCAATTTAAAATACATTTGCTCGTTCTCATGCGGGCTTTACTTTCGCGTTTGCAGAAGCAAATGTGCAATGGCAAATTGGTGTACACCCAGAACGTGGCAGGAACTCCACAGAAGAGAGGAGACAGACAGCGGAGAAAACGGGAGAAGTCAAACTTATCTCGAGAACTTTTAGAAGCAATTACACGCAAGATGTCCCGCGAGGAAATGCACACATTATCGAGCACGAAACTTCTAAAACTACCAGGGCGAAACTAGTCTCCGGTAGTTCGTTCACCCTCATATCGTTATCCTCGCTGAAAAGGCAATGTGCCGTGTAATAACTTATCTCGGGCACTCGCGTCCATCCCGCATATTACGCTTTCTATTCAGCCTATCTCGCTGTGTTTAACGCTTCCATTGCTTTCACAATATAAAATTCCACTGTTTTACGTAACGCAGAATACTGCCTGAATATCGAAAAGCAGGTGAACAATTTACTTGAAGAGAGAACGACGAGCCTATGGATTTTTCACGCTCTCTTCGCAATAACAGTTGTGTCAATTATATCAGTCCATGATTCAACAAAAGCGTCGAAAAGAATTATCAAAATACTTGGTCAGACTTCTGCATTGGTCTCCCTGTCCGGTAGAAATGTAAGCAGAATTGACTCGCGTGACTTTTAGGAATAACCTCGCACGTGTTTGCGTCCTTTTCCACGCGAAGATGCCGATATGGAAGAAGTCACAGCAGAAAGACAAAGTAAGATTGATTGATTATCATTGATTCAAGGCACGTCAACTACTATGGCCTTTAGTCCCGTAAGATTAATACTTGTTTTTCTCTCTGAAGGTGGCGGTGATCTTCCCCCGCTGCTTGGCGAGATTCGGCGCCGATCTACCGTTGGCTAGCGGGGTTTCCAACAACTAGGTACCTCCTGCCAGTGGGGCACAAGCTCTAAGCTCCCGACCGGTCTCTCGGCGTGTGTGGCAGTGTAATGCACGTTGGTTTAAGTGTGAGTAAGTAGTGAGGATAGGACACGGAATAGGAAAGAAAGATCGCGCGCGGTCCGTTGGCCCGTTTGTTAGAGACCTGCTTCACCATTCGCCTGGTGTTGATCGGAGAAACCACGGAAAACTACCGATCAGAGAAACCGATCTCTAGAATTCTCCTCCAGACAGCAAATAAATTCGACCTAGCTGACCAGCTAGTGACGAAAATCCTGCCATTGTCGAGACTCGAACCTAGGACCGCCCGGTCAGAGGCGTGACATCAGTTGATGCACTGAGCCAGCCTCTCCCGGTGCAAAGGTGCCGAAATGGAAGAAGATATAAGAAAAACGGCAAAGCAAAAAAACAAGAGTTAGGTGAAGTGAATGCTGATTCCACTGTTGAATAAGTTGAATTAAGTCAACCGAAAGGAAAATCAACTGGCGTTGCACAGCGTTGTTTTGGGGCGGCGTTCTGGGGCCGTGGCAAACACGCAACACGTTCGACGGGCAAACAAAACATTTATGTTCCCACGCCCGTCAACACTCCTTCAAAATTTTCCACGTGTTGTGGCATGTTTTTCTTTCCGCAAGCCATACCACTCTGCAAGGTAAACAATCCTTCATTACAGAATAGTTTGCCGAACCCACAAATCGAATTCACCTGATGGATGAACACTTCGCAAGAACTATATTTCCAAGGGCCACACAGAAACCATTCTATTCAGAGTTTAAAACAAAGGATAAAGACAAGAATCGATAACACAATGGATTATAATGGAGAGGAAGAGGGTGCTGGGTGCCTCTACAGAAAGATGAAGTTATTTATTCTGAAGGTCGAAAAAAATGTCATCAGCAACTCGTGACCGCAGCAAAATTGTTTACGCCGATGAACAATACATTATTTACAGCCTTTTCCCTCCAGGAATCCTGCCAGCGAAGCACCACCCCAAGCCAGGACAAGTTTAAGGCACCGACATGTGTGGTAGTTTAGTGCAAGTTAGCGTAAGTGTGCATAGAGAGAGGAGGGACAAGATAGGAAGGAAAGAACGCACGCGATTCGTAGCCCATTTGTAAGGGTACATTCCAGCATTCGCCTGTTGTTGATCGGAGAATCCCGATCAGTGCAGCCGGCCGCTAGAATTCTCCTAGCGACCGAGTTCCACCCAGCTCTGTAGCTAGTATCGAAAATCTGGCACTATCTGGTCTCGAACCCTAGCACTTCTCGTTCAATGCTATATTATACTGCAGAGACAACGCTATTGACACTGAGCTCTTGAAGCCAGTAAATAGTATTCTTCAATCCATATCGACTACTGGCCAAAATCCCCTTTTCGTATACATACAGCTGCAGTCCTGCATTTCGTCCCCGAAAATGCTTTCAAGATAAAACCATTTTCATGCAAACTCCTTACAGACGGCTGGAGACAATCAGAGTATTCTCCACGGCAAATTATCAGGGAGATCTCAAGGTCATTAAACCATTGTTCAGGTCCCTGGGCCATGATAGCATTCGTACCATAGGTAAGTCTCCCTCCATCAATGGGTTACAATATAATGAATTCCGAAGTCCATTTATGTTTAGGATACGTGTCCTTTTGCCTGTACAGTGTGATCGTCCTGGAAACACTCAACGATCCGCATCTAAAACTACTATCAATAAAATTCTTCGCGACGATTCTTGATTCCCTTCACTACTCGGATTCGTGGTTTTTGCTCAATCTTAAAGTGAAATAATTATATGAGTCGTCATTGCCAACAATATTGTTTATTATAAGAGTAGCTTTCGATGGCTTAGCCATCGAGTACAAGAAATATAAAAAACATTAACTCCGTGAGTCAAAAAACAAAATTAGGATAAAGAGATTATACTAATTTAAAATTAAAAAAATAATAGAGTGAACATTTTAAGATGTGAAAGAAACGGGGGTGTTTAATATTACATAAACATTTAATATTACAAGAAAGTGAATGAAATTGAATTGAACATGTGACATTTGTTGCAACAAAAAACATGAACTGTTAGTTGAGCCGTTAGCGTTATGGAAGTCGCGAAACGACTACGCGTGATCAGACAGGCCTAGGGGCTTAAGAACCCGGCTGTGGGGTGGAGGAGGGTTTAATGGCTTGGGTGCGATGCTCTGTTTACTGTGCCGCCCTGGAAGAGTGCTATGTGGGGATGGTGTCTAATAACAATTTTAGTTGAGGGGGAGGGGCTATGGTTTGTTTTCAATCAGCAAGTTATCATTTAAATGAATATGGAGGTTTTCCAAAGTTAATCTGGTGTGGTATTGATTTTCTATTTCCAGTATACGCTTATCTGTGTGTGGCTTGAATGTACGGCCTGTCTGGAGTAAATGATTGGCAAAGTGTGATTTACAGGAGTTGTCTTTCCACGCGTGTATATGTGTTACTTAATTCTGGTGTTAAAACGTTTTCAATATGTTTTTTATATTTCTTGTACTAGAAACCTGATGTTGGCTAAGCCAGCGACAGCTGCTCTTATAATAAACAAAACTGTTGGCAATCAATTATTTCATTGTAAATGCCAACGAAAACTCACCACAATACCAATATCAATCTTAAATACTGTTGCGACGACCGGGTAAGTTTCCTTAAACACGTGCAGACGAAAGTTATTGTGTTACACCTAGAGACCCCGAACGAGTAAAACGGCATACGTGGCGCCTTCTGCGCAGGTTCGGGTGAAACTGGCCCGTGCCAGATCACTTATGAGGCCATTAACACGCACTGTAGAAATTAAACGCTGCACCTGATGCAAGCTTCTTATTTCTTACCAAGGGTGGGGGTTGGTGGGGGAAGGGCACGTCCCTCCCAATATTTTCAATTACCTGCGTTCAGCAGTTTTACCAAACTGTATTATTTTTAAATTTATTCACAAAAGACCTCAATACTAATAAAAGCGAATTCAACGACATGTAATCGATATCGATTCCACAAACAGGGGTGTTTGAGTAGATTGCTGCTAATTTTGTTGTAACTCTACTCAATGGCGCTGCAGCACAAGATTGCGCTTAATTTTAATTCAATTTCCATTCAAACTGAGCTCCACCTGGACTTTATTGTGTTTGCTGGGCCGTTGCTAGTCGCAAGGAGCAGAGAGAGAAGACGAGAGCAGAGAGAGAGAGGGGGGCCAGGCAGAGAGGAAGAGACAGAGAGGACGGGTGGCAGAGACGAGGAAGAAGACAGGCAGGAGAGGAGAGAGAGAGAGAGAGAGAGAGAGAAGAGAGAGAGAGCAGAGAAGCGAGACATGGAAGAAGAAAGAGGAACTGGTACGGAGATGGCAGCAGGAGTCTGCCGCCTAAGTATTATAAAAGATATAATTTACAATGTTTTTTCCCGCAAACCCCCCAAAAAAACCTTTTTTGTAATGTTAGCTTAGTGTTTAGAGCAACTGGCCGTAAACCATGAGAACGGGTTCGAATTCCGGTCGCGGTGACAATTCTTTGAACAAAATTAATTATAAAAGTTATAATATTACATCTACAATCTTCACAATGAAACAATAACCCGGTGTACATAAAAATGGGTTGCTGTCGTTCATGTCAAAAATGCAAAGGTAATATTGTAAAGACAGCGGGAGTTCGCCAGGAGTGCGACTACGTCGCTCGTGTGAAACCTTCACTTAAACCAATGCTTTGCCAGAGACGCGTCATTCGGAAGCGCTGCTGAGTGCCGCCGTGTGAAAGGGTCCTGAGCACAGTACGCCCCTCGTGTTAACACCTTCACTTAAACCAATGCTTTGCCAGCAGACGCGCCACCACGCGGAAGCGCTGCTGAGGGGCGCCGTGTGAAGGGCACCTTTCTCTACTAATTGAAATGTGTAAGTTCCGGGGGAAGTGAGTTCTGGCTTTCGTCCGCAAAGACGTTGGCCTTGCGCCTCCCGTGCGTCACCCATCCGACGCAATCACCGCGAGTGGGAGGGTTCGCCGCCGCCGGCCGAGAAGTGGCGAGATAGCAGCGCGTCAAGCAGCCAACGCTTCTCAAGCACGCGGATATCGAGATTAGGAAAGGAGAAGGCGGTTGTTCGGCTTGTGTAACTTGGCGTCTTCTAGTCACTGCGTATGCGTGGCGATCTTGGAGATTCCGAGCGCAGTAAATATACGTATGGTATGAACACCGCGTAGAGAATATCGTTCTTTTCAATGTTTCCTAAATTGAATATTAATAACAATCTCTTTCTCCTTCTCCAGAGAGAGGGATCAGAATCTCGTCTCTCTCTCTCTCTCTCTCTCTCTCTCTCTCTCTCTCTCTCTCTCTCTCTCTGTTGTAATAACGCTTAGCTGATTATTCACAAACTTTTTTCGGCTTGCATTATTTATTGATAGTCTTTTTACAATGTGCACTGTTGAATATTCTTACAATTTTTTTAACAGATGAATGAAGTAGTTAAACTCATTACTTAAGAGATCAATACAAAATTTTAAAACGTTTCGGGGAATGTTGGTCCACATCTTAAGATCATCTAAAACTAATAACAAAAATTGGCTATGTCAGGCTGCTCCGGCATTAGCCAGTTGCTGAAACCCCAGAAACTTCGAATCAGAACGTCCGACCGCTAGCTTTCTCCTCTAGACAGCGGCCGAATTCGATCTAGCCTGATAGCTAATCGAACATCTTGCCACCGTGGAGACTCGAACCCTCGGACCACCAGGTCAGAGGCACTGCAGTGACATCAGTTGACGCCCTGAGTCATCTCAGCCAGTGTCTTGAGTCGAGTCGCCCAACCTACTATTCCTACGACTCACCGCTGCGAGAAAATGTACTTTCTTTCGAATGCAAAGAAAAAAACCCGCAAATGTTTGAATAATGTACTTGGAGTGGTAATGTGTACGCAAGGAGATGCCTAAAAATCAGGAGCAAGAGCTACATTTCTCCAGCCCTGTGTAATTTCCGAATATACGTTTGTTCATTGGAAAAAAGTGAACATGTTCGGCACTTCTAATGCCCTATAACAGGGTTTCCCAAAAGGGACGGGGTAGACCACCTAGGGGTCTCTGGCGGACACAGGAATTGGCATTCGGGCTATGCATCCCCCTACAAAGGCCTGGAGTTTTCGATTGTCTTCCTACACTTGGAAAAATTGATTTAAATATTTAAGTTCGATTGGTTGATTGTTTATAATTTCGGGCGCGTCAACTATTGGGGTTAATAGTACCATAAGTATAGTTCATGTTCTTTCCTCGGGAGGTGGTGGTGGAAGGTGAAATCAGGCGCCGACCTTCCCTGGGGTAACGGGGTTTTCCTCAACCACCAGCAGGGTACCAAACCAACCGGGACAAGCTCCACTTTGGTCTCCCGGCATATGTGGTAGTGTAGCGCATGCTAGTGTATGTGTAGGTAAGGACAGAACAAGGAAAATGAAGGAATGGTCGCGCGCAGTCCATGGCCCGTTTGTTAGGGTACTGCTCCGGCATTTGCCTGGTGTTGATCGGAGAAATCACGGAAACACACCGATCAGAATCATCCTCCAGACACCGACTGAATTGGTCTAGCTAATCAACTAGTATTGAAAAACTTTGGGACTCGAAAATATTGGCTGAAAAGGGTAGATGAAAGAAAGAGATCAAGAATTTTTTCCCTAGAAGTTAGTAACATTCGTTCTGAGATATGGTCATCTCTCGCGGCATAGGGGAATTGAGCCTCCTACCGCTCACAGATTGAGTTTCTCCGGCGTGACTTCTCGAGGAAACACAACGGCCTGATGCCGCGCGATTGGCGCGCTATGCGTGAGGCGTATCAAAGCTCGAAAATCATCACCTGCCACCAACACCGAACGCGTGGCGACACCATGTGTTATGAGGGTAGGGGAGAGGGATTGCAGCATGTTTACCGGATAACAGTCGAGAGTGCGTCGCTGTCCAATATAACTTTTAACGCACGCGCAGGAGAGCATTGCGCGTCTCAGCCAGAGGTGACTTTCATACACGAAGGACACGCCCCTGCTGCGAAGAAACAGACAACATCTCAATCACAAAGTGATGCAGTGTAATAAATAGTCTTCCGCTGCCCAGTGCCCTTGACGCCGCATTCCGCGAATGCGCGCCGGACGCGCCACCTGGGGCGGCGGCGGCGTCTGCTTCCCGTTGGCGAAAACCGAGCGCCGGCCGTGGGCATCGCCGCCGCGACGCCGCCGCCGCCGCCGGATAGAAAAACAAATGAGCGGCGAGCGGCGTGCATTCCGCGAGCGCCGGAAGCGGCCGAGGCCACTGCAGCGGCTCATGCGTATGGAGGAGAAAGAGGAGGAAAGGGAATGGAAAAGGAGAAAGGGGGATTTGAGGAAGAGGGAAGAAGACGGGAAACAGGGAGGAAGATTGAGGTGGAGGAGAGGATGCGATGAGAAGGGAGATCAGAACAAGGGAAGGAGATGGAATGAGGATGGAAACTGGGAAGAGGAGGAGGGGGTACAGAGGCGAGGAGTGGCGGCAGGGGAGGAGGGGCGATAGGAGAGGAGATACAGTAGGGTGGAGGG